CAAAAAAAAAAAAAAAAAAAAAAAAAAAAAAAGGAAGAGAAAAAGGCAGGAAGGCAGGTTCCCTGACCTTGGGACGATCGGGGCTCTCACAACACCCTGCTTGTCGGGCTCCGTGGTGACCCCCGTACTGCCAGACCTAGTGTTGCACTCAGTCTAATGGGGTTCATCAGTCTTTCTTCCTGTCTCATGCCTGATCCTCTCTTTTCCTCTGCCTGCAGCTCCATCTCCCACCACCTCCTGGGTCTCTTGGTTTTCTCCCGCTGCTCTGGGCTTCAGCTCCCAAATTTACCTTCTGGCCTGGACTGCTCCCCTGATCGACAGACCCAAGTATCCCGGTGCCCATTCAAACCAGGCATCTCAGCACAGCCTACCCCAAATCGCATCCACTCAAACCCACCCCCTAACAGCCCTGCCTGTCTGCTAGGGCCACCCTATCCACCTGGGTACACCCCAAGACCTTGGGGTCTTCTACGACTCTCCACACGTGCGTCCTACCCAAACTGTTGGCAAAGCACAGGCTCTGGCTGGTATTTTCAGCACCAGCCGCTGTCCACCACTCTCCACTCTCCCTGAATTATCGGGTGATTGCATAGCAGGTCCCCACTGGCTCCCTGCCCATTACACAGCAGCTCGAGGTGTCCTGTTAGCCGTAAGCCAGATTTCCTCCCTCCGCTCAGACACTCCATGGTCTCCCATCTCACTCAGAAGAGAGGCAGGAGCTTCTCAGCGACCTATGACCTATGCCCCCAGCCGAGTCTTCCTCCTGGGTCTTCCTCCTCCTCCTGGGTCACTTGTTGGCAGCCTCCGTGGCTGCCTGCAGGACTCTGTCCCTGCCCATCCCACCTGGATCACTGGATCTTCCCAATCTTCACCGAGACACTCACACGGCTACACCCAGACCACCCCCACCTCGGGTCCCTGCTCAGATGTCCCCGCCCCTGCCCAGATCACTCTCTGTACAACCCCCTCCTCCGGCCCCCCAGCTCTGCTGTCCCAATAGCACATGGCACCCTGGCATCTGTGCGGCCTCCTTCCCTGCCCAGCTGGGATGCTAGCTCCTCCAGGTTACAGGTTGTCTTTTCTTTCCTTTTGTCTTTCTTTTCTTTCTTTCATTTGTTCATTCATTCATGTGTTCCAGGGGCAACTGGCTTCCCCTCATCTACCTGGAGAATTTGGGAGTCTCCTCTCTACTTAGGGTCAGGTTAGAAAAGAGAAACTGCCTCACTCCAGATGGCTATCCTCACAAATGAATGAATAAGCGAGCTGCCTGTTAAAAACACAGGATTTTGACAGCCCGTGCTCAATCCCTTCTTTACTGTAACCCCAGCTGTGTGATCTCAAACCAGCTTGCATGACTTCCCTGGACCTCGGCATCACTGCCTCTAAAATGGGAATCAACACAGGATCCCCTCCTCATCCTGGGAGGTACAGAGTGGATACAAGTGAAAAGCTCTGAGCAGGGCCAGCCCCATTGACTCTGGGAATGCATGAGCTGTTATAATAATGCAGCCGCCCCTCAGCATCTGTGAGGAACTTGTTCCAGGACCCATGCCCTGGGGATAGCAGACCCTTGAGTGCTCAAGTGCCCTGTATAAAATGGTGCAGTATTTGCATATAACTTATTCACATCCTCCCATACTCAGGCATGTCCAGTCCTACGTGTTCAACTTGCGGCCTACGAGTTGGAAGAACTTGCCTTCCCTGGGCTGCACTGAGTGAGGAGGAATTATCTTGAGCCACATATAAAATCTATGCCATGGATGGGCCAGGGATTTAGCTCAGTGGTTGTGCCACCTGCCTGGCAAGCACAAAGGCCTGAGTTCAATCCCCAGTACCAAAAAAAAAAAAAAAAAGATGTACCATAGTTAATATATAAGTAACAAAACTACCTTTTAAATCTAGCTTTATTTTTTTGACACAGGGTCTTGCTATATAATCCAGGCTGGCTTTGAACGCACTATGGAGCTCAAGCTAGCCTCACACTGGTGGAAGATCCTCCTGCCTCAGCTATCTGAGTGCTGGGATTACAGGCATGCACCACTACACCTGAGCTAAAAATATTTCTTAACGGCCTACCCAACTGTAGCAGACATCCCTGCCCAGTACTAGTGGGATATGAGTGGCCCATGCTTCTTCCTTTCCCTAATCTGGCTATATTATTTTACATCAGGAGTCAGACCGAAGCCCTCCATGACTAAACGGGCAGGTCGGAGAGCAGAGTCGGGCAGTATTGCTCCTTTGCTAATGGCTGTGACTGAGGCCGAAGTCCTGGTTTGTGAAGTGGCAGACCTCTGCTGAGTTCCATGCAGCCGAGGTCCGCATGACCCGAATTAAAATGCTTTCCCCTGAATTATGGCTTCTCGTTGATCCAATGGGTGGCTGGCTAATCACACCCAGTCCCAGAACAAACATGTTCTATCCAAGCAGGATGAGCAGTGTGTACTTCCTTACCGTCCCTCCTGGTGCCGTCATTGTCAGATGTTCAGTAGTATTTTTCACTAGATGCCTTCAAGGCCTACCCTGATCCCTTTTCCCCCCCGACAGTTATATTCCATAAGTGCTGGATGCACTTGGAGGCCTTTGTCTTTGGTGCCTACAGCTGCACTAATCAGTCGGAAGACCCAGCTTCTCTCTAAATCTCATTTCCTGTCTTTGTTCTTTAATTAGCCTTGTGCTGTTGTGGCTCACAGGAGACCAGGACCCACTGCAGGGGTTCCGGTAATGTCCCCTCTCCCATTTTCCATACCTGTGAGCCACAGGTTGGATAATCATCTCTTCATTACTTATTGTACTTAAATCCAATGTAAATAGTTGTTTGTGGAATAAAGACATGGAAAAATGTCCATATATGTTCTGTATGGACGGAATTTTTTTCAATACTGAGGATTAAACCCAAAGTCTTCACACTGAGGTATATCTCCAGCCCTTTTTTTTTTTAGTCTTTTTTTTTTGAGACACGGTCTCACTGTGTAGTTGACTGACCTGTTCCATATATGTTCTGTATGGACGGAATTTTTTTCAATACTGAGGATTAAACCCAAAGTCTTCACACTGAGGTATATCTCCAGCCCTTTTTTTTTTTAGTCTTTTTTTTTTGAGACACGGTCTCACTGTGTAGTTGAGACTGACCTGGAACTCACTATGTAGCCCCGGCTGGTCTTGAACTCACAGCGATCCTCCTGCCTCAGCCTACGGAGTGCTGGGATTATAGAAGTGAGCCACCACGCCCGGCCCTCCAGCCCTTTTTTAATTTCTTATTTTGAGACAGGGTCTAAATCATTAAGTTGCCAAGGCTGGGTTTAAATTTAGGATCCTTCTGCCTCATCCTGCCAGAATGCAGGGATTTCGGGTGTGCGCCACCACGCCTGGCTCAGGTGCTGAATCCATACTGTGGAACTCACAGATGCGAGGCTCACTGTGATTATTCTTCCCATCTACAACCACAGCGTGGCGGTGGAGGAGCTTGAGCCGAAATAACAGAAGAATGTGCCTTTCCCCTCCACCCCACGATGTCTGCATTCATTGCAGGAGGGTGTTAAGGACCTAGGGCGGACTGGGAGGAGTTACCAGCAGTGTCACTCCTTTGGCCGAGTTAGCATCCCTGTGGCCCTAGGCTCCCAGACCGCTTACCTTTCTCAGAATCCTCCGAGCTATTGAACATGCTGGTGTAAGCCAGCCTGGGTGCCACTTCTCGGGCGTTGATAATCTCAGCTTTCCCTGAAAGAAACAGCAGGTAGGCAGGCCGAGCAGACCACTCTCCCTGAGGGAGCCCAGGGGCCGCCCACGTCCACCCTGAGTCGGACACCCCTTGCCACTTCCCTCCCCCAGGCACTCACCCGTGGAGCTATCATAGATGGTGAGGAACAGGCCGCCGCCAATGCCCATGCTGTGAGGGTTCATGAGACCAGTGCAGAGCAGGCCTGCGATAGCCGCGTCCACCGCTGAGCCGCCGTCCAGCAGCACATCCCTGCCGGTGGCACATGGGAGAGGGAGATCCTAAGGGCTCCCAGGCCCCATACAGACCCTGCCATCCACCATTCCACCTCCACAAGCCACCCTGCCCAAAGGAAGGCACAACAGGAAGCTGTGAGACTTTTTGTTTGTTAAAGACTTTAAGTTTCCTCTTTCCTAATCAAACCAGCATACATAATTTATTTGATTTTTTAAAAAGAAAAGAAAAACGGCACTTTGCTTATTTTTTGTTTTTCACTTCGAGACAAGGTTGAGCCAATCCTTAGTTGCCCTACCTCACCTCAAATTGCAATCCTCCTGCTTCAGCCTCCCAAGTAGCTGGGATTACAGGAATGTGCCTTAGGACAAGCCGAGTTATTTTTTTAATGAATAATATTTTCCCTGCTTAAGTCTTCAGGTGGAAACTGATCTTTGTATGTAATGTGAGATAGGAATCAAAAATAGACAGGGTTTATCCAAAGAGACAGGTACTCTTGGAAGTGGGACAAGGAACCCTCATGGCTGCTGGGAGACCAACGCTGAGATCCAGAGGTCACTGTCACTTCTTCCCCGACCCGAGGCTGCAGAAAGGGCCCAAGGAAAAGGCGGCAGCTCAGTGCACAGCAGACACTCCTAGTCCAGGCAGCCTGTTTCTAGGTGGAGAGGCTGAGTCCAGAGAGACGAAGGTCTTGCCCAGGTCTACTTGCCCGACCGTCTTCCAGGGCCCGAGCATGCTCCCACCCACTGCTCCACACCCTGCCCCAGGTCGGGTGATCCCGCTCACCTCCCAATCTCCGAGCAGCGCAGGGCATCAGCGGCCACAGCCGCCCTGGCATACACGTGGCTGGGCTTCGTGGAGGTGGAGGGCAGCCAGAAGCAAAGACCGACGATGACGACCAGTACCAGAACCACAGCCAACAAGCCCAGCACCACAAACTGCTTCTTCATGACTCTGCCACACAGCAGAGGGCAGGAGCAGGGTCAGTCCCAGCCTTGGGCACTCCCAGAGCCCTCTCCCCCAGGGGACATTCTAAAGTTGAGGCTCAAGAATAGCCCTGAGGTCCTTCCAGCCTCCTAGACCTTTGACCAGGGCGTTCCTTCTGCCAGGAGCTCCAGGCCCATCTCTGCCCTTCCAAATCCTCCCTGTTACTCCACAGGGCTCATCCCTTAAGGACCTCATGGCCAACAGGGACCCTTTCCCTGGTGCCCCTTCAGACTCTACGTGTCTTGTCTACCTCCTCATAGCAGCCACACCTTGCAGGGAGCTCCAGAAAGGACCGGCCTAGCCTTATCCCTTCTTTTCTACCTCAGCCCAGGGAACTGTCCATCGGGCCCTCAAGAGCAGCCCAGAACAGAGTGTGGAGTTGAAGATCCGCTGTGCCTTCCCAGGAGTCCTCCCTCATCCCCGCCAGTCTCCTGAAATCTGCGATCAGCTACCACAGGGCCAGAGCTTACCGTTCAGCGGTGGGTGAGAATCCCAAGCCTTGTCTAGGAAGACGGCTCTGAAAGACCAGAGAGTTTGGCCGAACACAGCTGGAGAAATAATTGGGGTCTCGCTTGTGCTCTGCAGGACCCTGTGGCCACAGGATCTTCTCTAAAGACTCCTCCAACAGGCAGCCACCTCGCTCTCCTGAAATCATGAGGGTGAACCTGAAGCGGGCCCAGCCCTATCCAGGGGGGCTCGATGTGACCCCCCCCACCTCTGGCTGCGTTTTCTGCCTCCAGTTGAACTCTGGAGCCAAAGAGGCTGTCAGTAGCACCCATGTCTGCATGAATTCTCCCAGGCACAGCCCAGAGTCGGCAGAGCGGGGAGGGTATGGGGTGCTCCTGCACAAGCCCGGGGGCAGTGGCATGTCATGTGACAAAGGGGGCCGAGGAGCCAGAGCCAGCCTGCCCACCTCTGAGTCTGGAACTGTGCAGCGTCGGCAGGTCACTTCTCTGCCCAGCGCTGGCCTCCTTCATCAGGACGGTCGTGAATTAAATCGGTTAAGTGCTAAGTAATTGTTAGCTGCCATTATTACCGTGGCTGTACTAAAGGGACATCCCGGGCTGCCTGCCTGTGGACCTCTTGCTGACTATATTTCCCTGTAGATTTTCTCTCACGCTGTGCAGAGGACAGCAGCAGCTTCAGAATCCCCATGGCTGCGGTAGCCGGTGAGGGGTTTGATCACAACAGGGAGTGGGGGTGTGTGTGGTGACAGACGCAAGGGTCCCCTCTCTCGGACCCTAGTCCCTCCAAAAGGAGTGCCCACCAGTGAGCCCCTCCATAGGGCTCCAAGCTGGCTCCTCCTCTGGTTTTCCTTGTCTCTCTTTAGAGCGACTGGGTTCAGGGCCAGATGATCCCAGAGAAGATCTAGGACAGGAGTCCTTGTCCCCCACCCCAAACTCATGGGGGCATTCCCGAAATCAGAGTGGAAGGGCTTGGCAGGCATGGGGTGATGCACAGCATGGTAGCATTTGACCCCTCATCTTCCATGAGAAATATAGAGATCCCCAGCCCTAGATGCAGAAGGAGACACGGAGCCCCAGCGCAGAGACGCCTGGCGAGTGGCCATGCAGCAGACCACTAACTTACGTCCCCAATAGGGTCCAAAGAACCCCTCCTTTCTACCTTGACCACCAGAGCCTGAATTCAAACACGATTCCAACCTGAACTCCACTCAGCCTCCTGCTCTCCCGCCAGCTCAGTCCTCCAAAACACAGCTAGAGGGCTCTGTCTGACAAAGTGCCAACCAAGCCCTGCCCTCTTTCTTCTGTCCCAGAGATTGCCAGGCCTGACAGCCTTTGGGAATGCAGACACCTGGGTCCTGGTGGGGACAGAGGTGAAGAGCTCCTCGTGAGAAAGTCACACTGGGAGTCCATGCAGTGGGGCAGGGGCCTGGCTTGGCTGGTGCCGCCCTCCAGTCCATTCTGGGCATCTCTGGCCTCATCTCTCCCACACTTGGAGTTGTGAGCTGAAACTCCTCTGAAGGCACCCTGATACCCTGAGTCACATATTCCTGCTTCCTCGTCCCCCTGTCCACTACAGACCCAAGTGAGGGCACCCAGCAAGCCTCAGACTTCCAGGGAGTGTGGGGAGGGAGTGGGCAGGACTGACTCCCATCTCTCCTCCCCACCGACACTGTGACAGGGAGGGTTGGCCTAGCCTCCCACAGGCAGATGTCCCCAGCCCAGCGGAAGACACCCTGCTGGGGGCCTGCCTTCCATTTCCCATCCCTCCACCCCTAAGTTTTTTTCAGGCTCCTTAAAAGAACGTCTAAGACCAAAGCCTGGCTCTCTCCCAAACCAGTGTCAAAGGGGAAACTGAGGCCAGAAAGTAGATTAGCGACAATGCTGGGCCTCAACCCAGACCCCTCCCTCCTTGTAATCCTGATGGTTTTACCTGAGGCCCAGGGGAGCAGCGGGGGCCCAGGAGGGAGCCCCTTCTTCCTCAGAAAATAGCTCTGGCCTGAGGCACCAGCTGGGGAGGAAGAGGCAGATTTTCTGTCTGGGAAAGTTCTGGCCACAGATCGTGTCCCCCCCCCACCCCCAAGCAGCTGGAGCCACGCCTGTGGCCCCTGCTTAGCTCCTCAGGGGGCCTCTGGATTGGGATCAGGATCTGGGTGCACAGACAGGAAAGGGACAGTAGGGGTCTCAGGCCCATGTGCTTACCTAGTCTTAGGGGGACAAGAGGTCAGCTAAGGGGTGCCCAGCACCCCTGTGGACAGCCAGAAGCATCTGAATAGGCTAGAGAACCGGAAGTCCTCCGCCAGAGGTCCAGCCAGGCTGGGAGGACGGCTGGAGGCTGACGCCATGAACAACACAGGAGCAAGGAGGCGCAGCGACTGGGCTTGTCACCAGGTGATTAAAGTTCATCAGCTCTGGAAGGGCCTTGGGCGGGAGATGGGAGGGAGGTGCTGTGAACCTTGGAAAAAGGTTCGTCTCGGACTGGGGTCCCTTCCAAGGGCAGCATCCACAACTGAGTCCCTCCAGGAAGCCTCAGGTGGGGCCCCTCTGGTCTACCCTGTCCCTGTTCAGAGCATCTAGACACAGAGGCAGACAAGGTGTCCCGGAGAAGGCTCCTGGGGCAGCGGAGCAGGAGTGTCTCTCGGAAGAGGCTCACCACACCCTGCTACCAGGCGTCAGAGGTGTGTTCTTGGAACACGGCCTGGAGGACCCAGTGACCAGACTGTTTCTGTTGCCAATCCAGAAACATTTGTACCCCAGGCCCGAGGAACTACCTGAACAGCCTAGAGAGCCAGGGTGCCAGAGAAGGCTAGAACTGTTCCTAGGTCACACAGCCAAGGCTGCCCCAGGTTGCTGCGTGTCCCTGACCAGCTAACCAAGGGAGGCAGGTGTGGACTCTGCCCAGTGGGCCCTGGCCAATGCCCTCCATTCCCTCTTGACCCTCATCCTCCAAGGGCAACATCTCCCTGAGCCACGCTCCCTCCCCACCTCTCCGGACAGTGGTGTACATTACGTGGCTGAGCTCCCCGCTCCCAGGAACGCACAAACCTCACTCGCCCAGAGATGCTGACTCTGCCCTCGGCATCCCAACACACAAGTGAGCACACACTCACACTCACTCGCCCATACTCATACCCCAGACCTGGACACAGCGAACAGGACAGCACAACCGGCCTGCAGTTTCCTACTGAACCTCAAGCCAAGCTCGAAGGCTCCACTATCCTGGAGCTACCGGAGTGAAACTGGGGCAGAAACCCAAGCGCATCGCGGAAAGGAAACCAAAGCTTATGAGGAAGTGATCTGCCCGAGGGCAGCTGACCCTGGAAGACAGGCATGGCTGAGCCCAGGGCCTACGCTACCCCACCAGCCCTCGCAGGGAATCGTGCCCCTGCTCCACACCTCTGCGTGTTCCCAGCCCTGGAGTTGGAATCCACCTCCCTCTCTGCCCAACCTGGTGACACAGGGTTGAGAACCAGGAGAAACGAAAACAACCTGCCCCTTCTTCAAGGCTTCTTAACCACCAGCAGCAGGAAACCTGTTGAAAGAGCTACATAGGCCTATGGTGACCTCAGACGTGGGACCTCCTTGGTGTTGAGTAATGACTCATTGCAAAATGGGCTGCACCCCAGACACAGCCAGAGCAGAGAGGGGTCAGCACGGCCAGAGGGCCCAGCGCTTGCAGCCCCACCACAGTTCCTACTCATTCTGGAGCTGGTGTCCAGGCTGCACCCTCCCCCTTCATTCCAAGTCCATTTCCTGGGAGCCTCGGCTTCCTCGAGAGTTTCCTTAGAGGGCTCAAGTGCCTCTGCTCCAGCCCCGGACACTCACTCATAGCCCCAGCAAGTCACAAATCCTGGGCAAGGTGTGTGAAGCCCACTAATCAGACAAAAAACCCAGTCCCAGGTGAAAGAAAGAACCTAGGGCCCTGACTACTTGTGCAGCCGCAGAGAAAGACCCTTCCACACCAGCGTCACCCCCTCACCTTGAAGGCGGCTCACTCCTGCCGCGCAGCTGTGTAAACCAAGGCTCCTACAGGATCTCCTCCAGAGCACAGCCCGCACATGGCAGAGCCCAGGGATAGAACCCAGACCTCCGCACACCCCTGGGAGGGACCAAGCCTGCACTCCCCGACGATGATTTCCAGCAGCTCAGAGAGGGTGAGTCATGCTTGGGGTCACACAGTCCTGGGCACGGCCAGACACGTGCCTGGCTCACTTGCCTGCAAGGCCTGCACCAGACAGAGGGTATAGTTCTCAGCCCCAGCTGTGACCCAGCTCCTCCTCTCCCTCCCCCCGCCGGCCTAGGGTGGGAGGAGGCTTTTAAAGGTGCAGGAAGTATTCCAGGTGGGCCGGACAGCTGCGACCTGGAACAGCTGTGGTTCCTCAGAACCTGATAGGGTCACAAAACCTTTAATGGGAAAGCTGAGCAAGGGAACCTGGGTGGAAGAGGCAGGGTTTCAGCCGGAGGGAGTTTAGGCCAGAAGTTCCCTGAGGCCGCCTGCTTAGCAAGCGCGAGGTCCTGAGTTCCATCCCGGCTACAAAAATATAATATAAAATAAAATCCCTTGGGAGAGGCGATCTTCCCTACTTCGGATGTCCAAGCAGGGATCACAACCCTGGGGGTCTGGGGCATAGGTATCTGTGGCCCTACGAAGTCTAAGAAGACTGAGTTTCCCTCCACAGCCCCAGCATAGGGGACACCCCTCCAAACGCTCCCTTTCAGCCACCTTGCAGGGTAGGTAGGCGCTGTAAGGGGCGGTTGCTCCACTGATTCTGGGTCCCTGAATTGAAAGGAGTCACATGGCCAAGGGGAGACTCCGAATTTCTAATTTCCTGGGCTGTGGACAGTCACTGCTGACCACAGGGGTTGGGGGAGAAGGCCCATCCGTGGCTCCTGGCTTTGGCATGCTGAGTGTGGGTGTCCCGCAAGGCTCACATCAAGGTCCACAGGGGTGTGTTTCCATCACTGGCACAGCGCTGGCTTAAACTCATTTTACTCATATTCATCCCCCCCCTCCCGATCCAGATCCTTCCAGATTCTTCTCCCTAGGAGGCCCCAGCCTAGGGGAGGTAAGCGGGAGTTACCGTCCAAGGAGGAGGAGCCCAGGGGTTTGAGGGAGGGGCAGACGCTAGAACAAGGCGTTTGGAAACCCAGTCAGAGTGGGTTTAGGGAAAGACACACCAAGAGGAAGTACTGGAGTCTTCAGCAGAGGCAGTGAGTGCCCCAGGAGATCTCTTGACCTCCCCGGCCCTTTCTGATTCCAGAGGCATCAAGGCTGGAAAAAGGAAGTAGCAGTGCCTGGACCTTGAAGTTCATTTTAGCCTGGACTTTGAGAGCTCTGGGAGGCTGGTGAATATGTCACCTTGCACTGAGTAACCCATTAACCCCAGCTCACTCATTAAGACCCTGGTGGGTGCTCATTAGCTCCTTACCCAGTTCCAGAGCTGGGCTAGCACAGGGGCCATGGGAAGAGGAAGTGTTGATGGGGGAGCTTGGTGAGGGCTGGCTGAGCTGTGGGCTTTCTGTGCCCTTGCTCCTGGGGGAAATTTCCCACACCAGGCTGGCCTGGTAGCAGGAGTTGCCATGCCACGATCCCAAAGCCTTTGTCCCCTAATCACCCTGTGGTGCTGACCTCCGCAGCCCATAGCACCTCAGGGGACTGGGCCAGACCGGAGGCTCCAGGGGACGGTGTGGGGTGAGGTCAGGACCCAACCTACCTTTCCTGCAGAGAGATGGGCTTGCAGAAGCCTCCGAGGCCCTTTCTACTTCAACGGGCTCAGGGCTGCCCCACTTCTGTATTTGACAAAAAGGACTCCAGTAGGGGAAGAAGTGTGCTGTCAGCACAGAAACCAAAGGCTGGGAAGGAAAGGGACCTGCCCATGGCCACTCAGGAGGATGAAGATTGGCCGGGGATTTAACTCAGTGGTTCCGCCACCTGCCTCTCAAGCCTGAGGGCCCGAGTTCAATCCCTGGTACAAAAAAACGAGGATGAAGACCTACAAGATGGGGAAAGCCGTGCAAACCACTTCCTGGAACTGGTATTTATCTATCTATCTCACTGCGGCACCCACCAGTGTGAGGCCCAGGAAGCTGACTGCATGAGTACCAGGAGGTGTCCGGAAACCCAGAGTCTCAAATGGGCCCCTCAAAGGCCAGGGATAGAGCCCTGACACACGGAACTGCAGCCTCACTGTGAATAAGCGGAATGGGTGTGTCCGATCTTGCTCCATCCTCCAGAACTGCTGGGATAGGATCTCAGCACTGCTTGGGAGCCAGGAAACCTGATATCATTGAGGACACCATTTGTGTCTTCATTTAGCAAACTGGTGGGATGAAACTGAGTTCAAATCCAAGTATTATAGCCTTTTAAGAAATATACTGGAGCAGCCGGGCATGGTGGCACATGCCTGTAATCCCAGGACTTGGGAGGCTGAGGCAGGAGGATCGCTGTGGGGTCAAAACCAGCCTGGTACACAGGGATAATCCAAGTATTATAGCCTTTTAAGAAATATACTGGAGCAGCCGGGCATGGTGGCACATGCCTGTAATCCCAGGACTTGGGAGGCTGAGGCAGGAGGATCGCTGTGAGTTCAAAACCAGCCTGGGCTACATAGTGAGTTCCGGGTCAGTCTCAACTACATAGTGAGACCCTGTCTCAAAAAACCAAAAAAAGAAAGAAAGAAAAAAAGGGAAAAGAAATATACTGGGGATTGAGCTCAGGAAACACTGGGCTACTGGGCTACCCACCCCCTGCCTCTTTTTTTTTTTTTCTTTTTTAATGTTTTATTTATTTATTTTTGAGACAGGGTTTTGCTATGTAGTTCAGGTTGGCCTCAAAGGCTCAGCGGTCCTCCTGCCTCAGCCTCCTAAAAGGTGGGATTACAGGCATGGGCCACCCCACCTGGCTGTTTTTATTTTAAAACAATTTCACTAAATTTTCCAGGCTGGCTTTAAACTTGCAATACTGCTTCAACCTCCCAACTAGCTGTGATCATAGGAGTGTACCACCACACCCAGCCCAAACCCCACAGCATCTCAGTCAACTTTAGAATCACAAAACCTCAAATGTTTGCTCTGCTCTTTTAGCAGCCCCAAAAAACTTACACTCCTGCCCCATGAAGAGGTATCTCTAAAGACAACAAGACCGCAGGTGGTTAGCAAGTTTTCCACAGCACCAAGCCCCAGCCTCTTTGTAACGCTTTCTGAAAGCTGAAAGAGTCAGCCTCTTGCTGGAGGGCCTAACCTCAGACCCTATGAACTAACTGAAGCCAGAGTGCAGAGAAACAGGGACACCTACACTGTGTGGCTACCTGGCAACAGCCTCTTAGAGCCGTACAGACCAGACTACAGAGGGCCCAGCTCACGGAAGGAGCTGGTGTCACCCAGTGGTGGGGGTGAGACAGGAGATCAGGGCATGGCAGCCTGGCTGGGGAAGTAAGGGTGACGTGTTGGTGGCAAAATCCCAGAACACATGTGCAAAACAGTTCCCAAAGCCCTGCATACAGACTTCTCACAAGAGCTGGAGCTGCTTTGGAAAACTGACATCAGGAGTGGGAGATCCACCAAGGGTAGTCAGTATGGAATGCCCCGCTATGGTGTTCTGCTCTTATTCTGTAGGGTGTCTTTCTTTTCCTACTTTTACTTGGTCAAAACTCAACTCTGCAGAGCCCGTTTCTCTTCCTACTTTTAATACATGTAAAATCTCACTGTCTCTTGTGCTTGTCTTGACCATTTCTTTGCTCAGAACAGAAAGAACCTAAAAACCACCTCTGGAAGGAGACTCCAGCACTCCCACACCTGGTGTCGGTAGGAAGCTAAACACAGCATGGGCAGAGCTCCTGTGCCCCCTGTGCCTAGCTGACAGCTCTTGGCCACACTTGCAGCATTCCCTACTGAAGTATGCACACAAGGACGGAGACTGGGCCTGGGCCTCCAGAACTGTCAGCTCGTTAGTGCCTGGGAGCACCCGGCTTCAGGGCTGCCCTTGCACCTAGTCCGCACCCCAACTCAGAGGCAGGATGGCAGGGGACAGGGTCCTACCATCCCTAGGATCAAACATGACTGAGCCACTGATGGCGCCGGGATCTGGACGGCTCTTCCTTTCCTGTTTCCTATCTGGAGATCAGGGATAACTAGGAGAGTTATTGGATGGATTCACTGAGACGGCTGTGTACAGCCTGCCTGAGGCTCCCACTACCTCCAAAGCCTCACAAGGCTGGCCTGGCTCCAACACCTATGTCTGCAGCCGCCTCCGTCCCTGCCTGCTGAACATCTCAGAGCAGAGGCCTCGAGTGTCCCCCATTGTGGCCATTCTGTCCTCTCTGCCCACAGAACCCTCTCCAGGTGGCATTTATCGTGGCATCACCAGGTAATTATTATGTGCAGTGTCTGCGAGCTCCAGGGAGTTGAGGGAGAAAGGCTGAGTTCCGTCCGTGTCCCAGCCTGGTCCCTTGGAGAGGCACCCCAGCCTCTCAGGACCTGTCGGGTCACACCCCAAGCCGTCCTGTCCAAACACAACAACCCATGACTTCACTGATGCCCAAGCCACCAGACACTTTCCACGCACGCCCTGCTTGGCTCACCCAGGCCTCCAGAGCTGTGGGGAGCTCTGTCTTTCGCAGTGCCTCTTCTACCTCCCTGGCCTCTCAGACGCTGGGCTGTTACAACAGAGTCTGACTGAACCCACTGGCTGAGGCTGAGGTTTCAGATACCCAGGTCGACAAGCCCAAACCTGAGGTAAGCAACTGCCCTCGCCGGGCCTCCCTGGCCACACGAGCCAGAGTCCGGCCCCACACAGCACTCCTGAGTCCTCCCTCGTCCTTCCCAGTCTTCCCAACCTTTACTATACCCGCTCTCCGTTGCATTTGATCTCCCAGCCTCCACAACCACCCCTATCGATTGGCTGGCTCCTGGTCACAGGTCTCAGCTCTGCTGTTGTTTTCCTAATGCAACCCCAGCGCTCGGCATGCAAATCTGAGCCAAGTTCCTCCCCAGCGGAAAAACCATTCAAAGACTCCTGTTTGCCCTGGGGATAAATTCTTGCCTTGCAGGTTCTTGCCCATTCCTCTGCACTCAGTGCCCCCTCCGGAAATCTTTGTAGGCTGCTACGGTTGTGAGAAGCACTCTTCTTTCAAACCCCCGCCGGGATGCCACCTCCAGAACCCTCCTTTGCCTCTGTCCCAGCTGCCCCACTCTGAGCTGACTTTCCTGCCCCCTCATGTCTGCCTCAGTCTCCAGAGTGCATGAAGTGCCCACTAGTCATCAGAGCGGACAGATGCTGGCCATAGGCTCGCTGGGGAGATCCAGTCATAAAACCAGAGATGAGGGGCTAAAGTGTAGCTTAGTGACAGAGGGCTTGCCCAGCACTCACGAGGCCCTGGGTTCAAACCCCAACACCACGAGAGAAAAAGAAAAGCCGTAAAATATATTTTACTAAAATGTTCCGTGCAGCTGTGTGCTCTAGGACACCTACGCCAGATGGGCGTTTTATTTTCCTTGTTTTACGGAGGAAACAAGTTTGCGGGGGCTGTGGCATAGTAGGGTTAAACAGCATCTTCCCCCATCCCAAGTTTATGTCTACTTGGAAGCTCAGAATCTGACCCTATTTAGAAAGAAGCTTTGCTTTGCAGAAGTAATTAGATAAGAGGAGGTCACGCTGGATTAGGGTGGACCATACATTGAGTAACTAGTGGCCTTGTAAGACGCCACAGGAAGAGAATCACATGGGCCAGAGAAGGACCAGGAGGCAAAGTTTAGAGTGACCCTTTCCCGAGCTAAGGAATTTAAGGATTGCTGGAACCGCCAGAACGAGGCCAGGAAGGGTCCTGACTTAGAGCCTCAGGCAGTGGCGCCCTGCCTACTTCTTAATTGCAGGCTTCTTCTCTCTGGAACTGTTGTTTTAAACCACTGACTTTGTGCTAAGTTGTTACAGCAGCCACAGGAAACTAATGCAGCTGCCTACCGGTTTACAGTCACACACTGAACAGAGGGCAGCCCAGGGGATTTGAATCCAGACCCTGAGCCTACACCTGTGACAGCCCCCGCCCCATGCTTCCTTCAGCCCCAGTGGTAATTCTTGGTCCTACAGAAGACTGACAACCCATCCCTGTAGAGCAGGCTCAAGGGAAAGTTTAGTCTCCGTAGAATTTCTGTCTGGCTCCTTCCTCCTACTGAAGGTTCCGGAAACTCTTCAGCATCCTGTTTGTCATGGTTAGCAGGAAGCCCTGTGTCACTTGACTGCTTCCTGAGGTAGCATCATCACAGAGGTGCCCTTCCAACTTGGATGAAAAGAGGGTCCCAAGATGGAGTGAGTCCCAGTTTCAGGCCCAGCCACAGCTGTCCACTCAACCTGTAGTTCACCCAGACCTTGGTTCCCCACCACTCCAACTGGGCCATCACGTGGGTAACTGAGGGCTTAGGACACCCAAAGTGTGGCTGTCACCAATACCTCTCCTGGCAGGTCCTGCTTTGGGCCTCCTGTACCCCTATCAAAGTCTGGGGGTTGGCTGGGTATGGTGGCACATGCCTGTAATCCCAGCACTCGGGAGGCTGAGGCAGGAGGATCTCTATGGGTTCAAGACCAGCCTAGGATACACAGTGAGTTCCAGAGCAGTCTGAACTACATAGTGAGACCCTGTCTCAAAAAAAGAAAAAAAAAAAAAAAAAAAAAA